TTTTTACAAGTGTTATAATGCTTTGCTTGTACAAGAATGCACATGCATGTACAGCCCTGGATTCATGCATGCACAAGCAAATTCTGTGTTTGATCCAATAGCTTGTAACAACAGGTCCTATCCCCCTTTCTTCCAAACATCCTCCTCAGGACACTGGTTCATGGTTGAATGCCTTCTCCAAGACCACAAAGGCATCCAGACTGGCTAGGCAAACTCGGATGCACCCTCAAATATCTATGAGGGAAAAGAACTCGTCCAGGATTTAACAACCAGAAAGAAAACCACATTGTTGCTTCTGGATTTGAGGTTTGACTAAAAAGTGGGCTTCCCTCTCCAGCACCCTGGCATAGACCTTGCTAGGGAGGCTGGGATCCAAGTGAAGTTGAAGGGAAACCAGCCCCCATTTCTTTTATCCAAAGGCACGCGAACTTTCAAAGGCATGTCAACCAGGACAGCCCCACCACATCCAGAGCCTCAAGGAATTTGAGGGAAGTCTCATCTGCCTCAGAGGTCCAGCCACCAAACAGTTTAGGAGAAGGCGTAAGAAAGTCAAAGAAAGATTTAATGAATTTATTTTTGTGTATGTGCTTTGTAAATTTTAGCAGAATTGTTGGACAGTGACGTTGTACAGCCCTTCTATCTATTGCATATATACAGTTAAGTAAACCAGTAAACGTGATACCTTTCTACAGATGTAGTCTCCAGGACTGAAAACTTGCGGTCGGAGTTTTAACACCAATTCTACAAGGAGGCCTGCCTCACAGTCCTGGAAGATACGCACCTAGGTCCAAAAACAGACACAAAAGCAACATTTAGGAACTTCAGATCGTTTGACTAGTTTTGCCAAGTGAGGTAAAAGGGTAAGATATGGGTCTTTACCTTCTTAAGTGTGTCCAGGTGAACATTGATAGCTATCTCAGCTCTCAGTTTATTAGGCAGACTCTTGAGGACTTCTTGTTCATCAATTGTCTTCTGATTGGTCCAAAGGTAGTCAAACCAGCGGATGACACGCTGCTCCAGCACCTTGCTGACATGTCTGAAGTGCATGTAGTGTTTGAGTCCATCTACACGTGTTTGAAAGGTTGCTCTTGTTGCATTCATATTAGAAATCATGGATCCAACATTACCCACAATGGAGGCAAATATCAGAACACCAACCTGGAGAGAAATACCAGTAGTAATTGTTTTAGCAGACTGGAAAAACTAGTATACACCTTTTGTATAGGGTTTGAGTAAGCTATAAACCTACCAGAAAGTCAAATATCAGGAACAGATATTCTTCATCTCTAACGGGTGGAGGAGTTTCTCCTATAGTGGTCAGCGTCATGGTCGACCAGTATAGGCAGTATATATAACTTCGTGACAAGGTGCCGAACTCAGGGTCAGACGCATTGGGATAAACCCATGAGTCAGAGCCCAGTCCCAGGATTTTGGAGAAGCTGTAGTATCCGCAGGCATTCCAATGGATTATGACCAGGATGTACAGAATCAGTTTACAGATGCGGAAAGCATTGGGGTAGCCCGTTCGTGTTTCTGTACGCTCAAAGAACTCAAAGAGACGTGGCAGGCGCAGCAGTCTGTTGAATCGAAGAAGCGGAGTGTAGCCGATTCCAACAATCAGGTACAAGAGGTCAGTTGGAAGAATGGAGCAGATGTCAAACTGACACTGTAACGTTCGAATGTAGGTTTCTCTCAGACGGCGCACATCTTTGATCATCAAGCCTTGATCCAAGAAACCTTGATGTACATAATAAATGTAAATACAGTGTCCCACTTCTGGGATTTTTAGAAACCTGAATTAAGATTCCATCAGGAACAAAAAAGAGGTCAGTGTCATAATATTTCATGTTCAGTAGTTTCTTGTCTTTTTCATGATGGAAACTTATCAGAGTACCTGTGTGAAGCCGAACAGCAATATCCAGGATATAGACTCCATCACAGGTGTAGTCCAGCACTTGCCAGATGAGCACATTTCTCATCTGGAGTTCATCGAAACAAGCCCTAAAGAAATACAAACAGCAAAGTGACAAAAATGATATCAATCTGCTATTCCAGACACATGTCATTGCCCCAGAGACGTGTTAGTAAGAGTAATAACACAAACAGGAATCTGCTTCTGAGAGGGAGTTTGACCGTTTGTATTAGCGGAAGCTATGTCAATGTCAGCTCCCTACCTGGCAACTAGCAGGGTCCAGTTGTAAAAGGCTGCAGCACCAATCACCATCAGCCAGTAATAGTACGCGTCATCAGATGGAGATAAAACCACAATATTACACTTTTTTCTCCTGACAGAGAGAACCCAAAACACAGACAGTAAGCATCAACTGAAGTTTCACACTGTTTGCATGTTAGCTGTTGTTTCCTCACGTGCGTCTGGAGCGTCTGATTTCGTGATCTGCATCTGAGCCGGTACGGCTGTGGCTGAACCTGCTGGGCGGCGCCTGTATGTCCATGTTAGCAGGGCCTCTGAACCGCTCCAGGAAAGAATCCGGTCGCTCCGTCTCCTCAGCCAAACTCTTCTGCGCCCATTCTCTCAGGGTCATCACCATACTGACTATCCTGAAGACAAACAGGCAGAAAATGTTATGGTAAAATGGTAAATGGCCTTCATTTGTGTAGCGCTTTTCTAGTCCCTAAGGACCCCAAAGCGCTTCACACTACATTCAGTCATTCACCCATTCACACACACATTTACACACTGGTGATGGCAAGCTACATTGTAGCCACAGCTGCCCTGGGGCGCACTGACACCGGGCCCTCTGACCAAGGTTGTATTGTTGTTTTGTTATTGTGGTTGTATCCAGCTAAAACATTCACTCTTGTACTGTTTTACTCATTATCATCTGAAAATCAGCTATCATACCTGGACAGAGCCCCTCGGGCCCGAAAGGAATTCTGGGAACCAGCATCTCTCCTGTCAATGGCTGCCATTTGCTGTAGCTCTGAAGAAGTGTCGTCACATATTGACTGTCCTCTGTGTATTCATGCACATACAAAACACATAACACACAAACCATGTAACTCAGCAAACAGTGTGTAGAGCTTTCAACAACTTGAAACTAGTGATTATCCTTCTGTCCACTTGGACTAATTTTGCTATCACGGTTGTCGCCCCCTGCTGGCCATGAGAAAGAATACGGATTTAAGCATCAACTAAACTGTAACAACACCTGTGTGTGTGTGTGTGTGTGTGTGTGTGTGTGTGTGTGTGTGTGTGTGTGTGTGTGTGTGTACCTGCTAAGTGTGCTCTCAGCTCGGTCACTCTCCTCCTCTGTCCATGTTTTCACAGACAGCCTGTGAGAATCCTGAACCAGACCCGTCATCCTACAGACGCAAACACAGCAACACTCAAGTCATTTTCATTTTGTTCACTGCGAAAAGAACACAAAACAACACAACAAAACACACACGGAGCCAGGTCGACTGTACCCAACCCAAGATCCCAAGCACCGTCAGAATATGTGTCAGAACACACACTCACGCGTGCACACTCACACCCACATATCGCACTTATATGGAAGGTCATCTAGTACGAGGTCATCCTTTGTCGAGCATCACCACAGAAACCAGATGACATAGCAACAAGCTGTACAGTAGTTATGACAACAGATCATAAGAGGGAGAGACAGAAATGCAAAAGTGATCCATTCAGCAAACCTGGTAACTGTTCTGATGCTCCAGTGTTCAGGTGGTCAGTCCATCAGCTCAGATCCTGTGCATCTCGCCAAAGTATTATTTCTTTCAAAAAACACAAAACAAAACTCAACGTCTTTTACAGGCTATAAGACACGATGAACAGACTCGAGTGCAATACACACATAACACGGTGGATGGAGTGAACAAATGTAACCGATAAAAGGAACAATCACGTGGTACTCGGGGGGAAAAAAGCATCGTTTAAATTGCAAATTGTGTGTGTACGTGCATATATGTGTGTGTTTCTTTTCACCAGCATGCTCATCTGAATTCAAGAATCTCGTTTGAAGTGGCCTCTGATCTGGAAATGTGTCTTTGTGCATGTGTGTGTGTGTATTCTGCTGATTACTGAGAGAGATTTTTGTGAGTGCACCTGCACTATTTCAGCTCTGTTCAGATGGATTACAAAACAACACAAAAATATACCCATCTATCCAAAAACGTGTTTTCACCATGTGTTTTGATTGGTTGTGACGGGATGTTGACATGTCTGTTCAAAATGACAGAAAACACGAGTGCCTTACAGGGTAAAAGTCATTTCTGGGATCGAGTGTCACGTGTAATTGGCTCAGTTATTACCAGCACACATTTAGAAAGTGAAGCAGCTGCCTCTCAATCATGATAGCAGCTCCACTGCTGCAGTGATGACAAATACACCGCACTGCAGACACATTAACAACCTGTCAGAAGCTCAACTGACCTATCCCAGTTTTCCCTCTTATATTGCAGGACAGCTGCAAATATTTAAGCCTTTGTTTCACAAAAACAACTCCTGCTCATTTTAAGCCTGGAGATAGTCACCTTGCTGTATATTCAATAAAGTTAATGCTACCTGCATTCCACCCATGTTAGGTCATGCTACTGTGCACGCTGCCTCCACTGAAAACATCACTTAAACCCTTGATGGATTCTGCCTGTCATTTTAGCAAAATAGCAAATCAAATATAATGTCGGTTCCCATCAGTGTCTTAACACATTTTAACATAATGCTTTGTCTGTAAATCACAGCTTAGCTCCTTTTTGCTTCAGATAACTCTGAACTTGTATTTAACACTCTCAGGGGCATCAAACATAAGGCCCGGGGACCAGAATCAGCTCAGCGAAGAATTCCAACCTGGGCAGCTCGAAGGCTTTGGAAAATGTGAAGGAGTGCATGGATTTTGAACTTTAAACTGTTTTTTCATAAATTTGACAGATTTCCTGTTGACAAAGACTTTCACACTACACCAAATAGATAGATAAACAGTTCAATGGAAAAAGTTACAGTTTTTCCACTACCTGCCACATAATAACCTACAATTTTATTCTATTCTAAAAAGCATTTACTAATTGTTGTACATGTACACTAACAATATTAAGACATCTCAGGGATTAAGTGTTTAGCTAAAAGTCTTCACACTGACAGAAAGATTTTCACTGGTCCGGCCCACTTAAGATCAAAGCAGGCTGTATGTAAAATTAGTTAAAACAAGGTTATGGATCGCTAGCACTGCTATTGTTTGCTTGTCTGTGCATACATTTGGCTGTGATTCGTGTTTTTGAGGCCTAGGACCCGCCCCCTGATGATAGATGGAGTATAGTGGCTTCTGCCTCGGCTCTTTCTGCTCCTTTACGCTCCCTCGTAAAGCAGCAATCTGGCCTTTGTGTTAGGTTGCTGTTCCTTTTTGGTTTTGTGCTTTCAATATTGGGTAATATATGAGCTTCAGGAGCCTCCCCGTGATCCTGATAAGGATAAGCAGAATGGTTGAATGGATTGATGACTATGACCTTCATTAGAGAGTAAATGGTTGTTGTGTTCCAGCCTTACAAGCCAGCCGTAACTGCGTCCTGATAGTTTCTGCAAAGTTTATGGAAATAATTTGTAATCATTATATTAAATCTGTGAAAAGACTTCTGTGAAAGGACTGCTGCTATCTACCCAAACGAATGTGACTGGAGTTTGTTTTAGAACTTAGATCTTATGCTATTTTTTACTGCTCTTTTTTAAACTTATTCTTTTAAACTGTATTGCTTATTGCACTGCAGAGGCTGGTGAGAAACAGCATTTTGTTTCAGGCTGGGTAACACCATATGAAATGACAATAAACTTCTTTAGTCCTTGAGTCCTAAATATAAACATAAGTAAAATGGCCACTTTCTTAGGACCAACTGCTTAACTATTGGCTAATGTGAATCTAATCAGCCAATCCCAGGGCAGCAACCCAATGAATTTTTGGCATGATTGTACAGGAAACACACTGAAGTTCGGTTTGAGCATCAGAATGAGGAAGAAAAGTGATTTAAACAACTTTAAATGTGGCGTGGTTGATGGTATCACACAGGCTGGTCTGTGATCTGCTGGGATTTTCCCACACAACCCTCTCTAGTGTTTACAGAGAGAAGAGGAAATATGCAGTGTGCAGCAGTTCTTCTGGCAAAAATAACTTTTGGATCCCAGCAGTCAGAGGAGACGGCCAGTCTGCTTCAAGCTGACAGGAGGGCAACAGTAACTCAAAAACAACCAAGCCATGCAGAAGAGCACCTCTGAATGGGCAACAATGTAAGCAGATGGGCGACAGCAGCAGAACACACACCAGCTGCCGCTCCTGTCAGGTAAAAACAGTACTGTACATTTATGCCACATTTCACACATGCTCACCAAAACTGGACAACAGTAGATTGGAAAAGGGTTGCCTGCTCTGATGAGTCTGCTTATTTGCTGCAACTTCATGCTGCCTTCTATCAGTGCTTCTGGCAGGTAGTGGTGGTGTAACGGTGTGGGCTGATGCTTTCTTGGCACACTTTGGGAGTATTGAGCATAAATCGCACAGCCTACCTGAGTACTGTTGCTGACCATGTCCATCCCTTTATGACCACAGTGTACGCATCTTCAGATAACGATCAACGTCACAGAGCTCAGATCATCTCAAAGTTTCTCAAGTGTGAGTCACCCCCCCCCCCCCCCCCCCCCCAATCCAGTAGAAGATTTGGATTAACCTGCTGCTGTTTGCTGAGCAGACTTACTGAAGTTAAAGCCAATTCTTTGATGTAATACTTAAGCAGCACACACATACATAAAAGAAATGACTGGTATGTATAATTCAATTCAATTCAATTTTATTTATATAGTGTGTGAATGGGTGGATGACTGGACGTGTAAAGCACTATACAAATACAGGCCATTTACCATACAGCGCCAAATCACAACAACAGTCGCCTCAAGGTGCTTTATATTGTACAGTAGATCGTACAATAATAGATACAAAGAAAAACCCAACAATCATATGACCCCCTATGAGCAAGCACTTTGGCGACAGTGGGAAGGAAAAACTCCCTTTAACAGGAAGAAACCTCCAGCAGAACCAGGCTCAGGGAGGGGCGGGGCCATCTACTGTGATTGGTTGAGGTGAGAGAAGGAAGACAGGATAAAGACATGCTGTGGAAGAGAGACAGAGGTTAATAACAGATATGATTCAATGCAGAGAGTTCTGTTAATACATAGTGAGTGAGAAAGGTGACTGGAAAGGAAAAACTCAATGCATCATGGGAATCCCCCGGCAGCCTACGTCTATTGCAGCATAACTAAGGGAGGATTCAGGGTCACCTGGTCCAGCCCTAACTATATGCGTTACCAAAAAGGAAAGTTTTAAGCCTAATCTTGAAAGTAGAGATAGTGTCTGTCTCCTGAATCCAAACTGGAAGCTGGTTCCATAGAAGAGGGGCCTGAAAACTGAAGGCTCTCCCTCCCATTCTACTTTTAAATACTCTAGGAACAACAAGTAGGCCTGCAGTGTGAGAGCGAAGTGCTCTAATAGGGTGATATGGTACTACAAGGTCATTAAGATAAGATGGGGCCTGATTATTTAAGACCTTGTATGTGAGGAGCAGGATTTTGAATTCAATTCTGGATTTAACAGGAAGCCAATGAAGGGAAGCCAAAACAGGAGAAATCTGCTCTCTCTTTCTAGTCCCTGTCAGGAGTCTGAGTTCTCTTAAAAATGAAACTTACATTTATCCATGATATCCTGTTTCAGTAGACCAAGAAAATTCAGAGTAGCCTCAGCTGTGCCATCAATTAAATGTAAAACAGTCTTTAACTGCTAAATACAAATAAATATAACATCGTGCTATTTGCTACGTGATGGAAGCAAAATCTCAATAATAATATTTAAGGAAATGGAAATGAATGACTGCTATTGGTTCTGTTCAGTAAGTAAATGTGTGGTTGTTGCAATAACACGCTTGAAACGGCAACAGAACAAATCACACAGAACACAAAACTAGATAATATATGAAAAAAGATTTTATTGTTTACCATAACAGACGTAATTGTGCACACAACACATTGAAAGTATTGCTCGCATGACTTTAAATTAATCCGGGACTAAACCTTTGAGGTTGTTTATTGCAGTCATCATGGCAGCAAAAGCAGAGCTACTGAATTCAAGTGTTATGCTGGAACAGACCGTCTACAGACAAAGCGCTAGAAAAAAGCACTACAGATGTGCTGTTCTGGGTTAAAAATCCTAGTCAAAGCATTTAATAGACATTGAAGGTTAAAACAGGTTTCAGTTTTATATTCTGTGAATATATTATCTGCCTATAATGTAGCACAGCTTTGGTCATATACATGAAAGATTATTATGGC